GTAGCTGTGAGAAGACAGGCAGAGGTTTCTTCGTTTTAATTACAGTATTTAATCACCCCTGATGGCTCCGGGCTGCAGCTCCATCTCTGCGTAGGAGGCAGATGCGAGTGTGGGTTCGAGTGCTGTCATTATACATGATGCACCCACAGCCTGAGCTGATACACGGATTAGTGGAGTTTGTCACACACCTCTAGCGACTGAGTGGGCTGGGGAGCGATGAGGCACAGACTGGCTAAATCCTGCTCCACACTGGGATTTCCATCACATCAAATTGGGATCCGATCCCACTTCCCAGGCATGAATTGTTGAGGTCCTGCAGCGCACCCAGCCTCAGCATCCAGCACACCTGTAATCAACCCCGAGGGGGAAGCCTGCAGGATTTAAGGATGCTGGGAGAAAGCATCTCATCCTGGAATCCTCTTGCCTGACAGGATGTACCCCATCGCACAGGGACACACTACTGGCATGGTGAGATAGCTGGTGTTGCAGGGGTCAGGGTGGCTGCTGGGTTTGGGTGGGATGATGGGGTCTGTGGTGCTGATGGGAGGGACAGGTTCAGGTTTACTGTGTCACCTTGGCCAAGCCACTCATCTCACAGCCAAGGCTATTGTCCTGGGGAGAGCATTGCACCTTGGTTCATTGCTTGCACGAGTGCTGGGTGGTGCTGTGCTCAAAGATGGGCTCTGTTGTGTCCTTCATCATCGCTGTTCTCCGGTCTTGATCCCATGGGTACCACTTCAGCATCACTCAGTGAGACTTTGGGGCTGATTTTCTTTGCCCCTCTGTGTCATATCCTCAAGCTTTTCAAGGAGAAAAAGGAATTCAGCTGCAAACTTAGACTGAGTGGTCCTGTCCCCTGGAAAGGATGTGCTGGGACTTGATGGAAAAAGGATGGCAGAGATGTGACGTTCCTCTGAAATAGAGCAGAAAAAGGTCCTACCTCATCCCCAGCTCCATTGTTTTGCATCCCAGATCCTTGCTCCTTCCTCCCCTGGCACCAGCTTTAAACACCCCATGTTCCTTAGTAAAAATCAACCCTTTTCCAAAGTTTCAGGGCACCACGGCATTTCCATGCATGGATGGCTCCAGCTAATTCTTTCTTCATTGATGATATTCCTGGGCTGGTGTCTCCAGTGCGAAGACGTGGATTTGTTGTACTCCAGATGTCCGTAGGGAATACAGATGTACAGGAAGATGCTTGCTTGAGAGAAAGCCTGTAGTCAGCTGTGTGCTACCTTGTCTGTCTGGTTTAGCTTCGTGGTTAAACTCAGCCCAGGAACTGCAGGACCTGAATGATGCTGAAGCTTGTGATGATGCTGAAGCTTGTGATGTTGTGGTAAGGCTCCCAGGCAGCCAAAAAGCCTTGTTTTATTGCACAGTCCTCACTCACTCTCAAGCTTGACCCAGCAATGGCAAGCCAGGAGCAGGATGCCCTGGGCTGTGTCTGGCTGGTGATGGGATGCACTGATAGAGCAGAGTGCTCAGAATGCAGGAGCTGGGGCTCTTGGTTTGTATTTTGGCTATTCCTTTCCTGTGTTTGTTCTGCTGGAGCAATGACTGGGTTGTGGAGTGAGTACAGGGATGACTCTGAGGCTTGGTTTGGTTTTGAAGCTCTTCTGGGCTCTGTGCTAAGAACCCATCAAACTTGGAGTGCATTGAAACACCCTTCATGGAGCAGGGCTTTATCATGAGCTGGTTAGTGAGTGCTTAAACCCTTTCTGGCCAGAAATGCACTTAGTAATGCTGCCTGCAGCCCTGGCCAGGTTTATACTTAGCTTGTAACACTCCTTATACCCACTGCGAGTGCTGGCATCTGGCTCAGCCTGCACCCCAAGTCCTCTCTTCCATAGGGTCACGGGATGTGTGTACATGGAGAAGGGACATCAGGAAAACATGGTTCAATGTGTTTGGGCAGTGGAGTGTGTGAGCTCCTGCACACTGCTGTGTGCACTTAGCCCCTGTCCTGCTGCCTGGAGGGGACAGGGATGGGCGAAGGCTGGTCAGCGGTGATGCCGTCTGCCTGCTGTGCACATCTGGCAGAGAGCTTGGGGGTGCTTCTCTGCCCTCCTGGTCACACATGGCCTGAAGCAGAGCCAGGGGCCACCATTGCCCCAGCACAGTCCTGTTTCCTTTCTGATGACGTGTGGATAAATACTGTTCTTTCTGGATGTGGCTGCCTCTTCCCTGAGCTGCTGCTGTGCTGGCGCTGGGTTTCTGGGGCAATACAGACCTGCTCAGTGCCAGAGATGATGCCAAGTGATGCATCTTCATTTATGTTTGTTTTCTAGAGCTGGAACTCCCTAATCTTGGCTTTGTTTTGCTCCTAAGCAGTGTGTTGCTTGGAGCAGCTTCTGCAAAGCCCTTTGCTCAGCTGTGTGCAGGGCTTGGCACTGTTTGCAAAGTACCTGTGCAGAAACACTGTCATCTCCCCGGGTCACTTAGTGAGAATGAATCTGATTGGGATGGATAATTAAAAGGATACAGGGATGCTCACCTGGTAGAGAATTTTCTGCTGTTTCTTTACAGGCTGCACATGAAAGGGGGAATCTGGAACTGTACCTGCACAAAGTCCTTTGCACCAGGCTTTGTTCAGTGCCACATCCATGCAGTGCCTGTTATCTGGACGGGTGGATTCATTGTCCCCACCAATTCCCTTCCATTCAATGTCGAACTGAGAAAATCATCTCAGAGACCTCTGTTTGCAGATGTGCTGCCTTCTGCTTCCAGGCATACTCCTGATCACAGTGCACAGGGAATAAGCAAGGTGGAGTGTAGGGTAAAGCATGGCTGTGTGAAAAGGCCATCAAGTGCATCCTGGCCTCCTACCCCTTAAAATACAGCCTAGGATGGTCAGAAATGAGCTTGTGCTGCTGCTCCATTGGTGCAAAAAGGAATCTTGCAGCTGCCTTGGGAGTGGGAAGGGCTGGGGATGGATGGATAGTGGGTGGATGGATGAACAGATGGAGGGGTGGATGGATGGATGGATGGATGGATGGATGGATGAATGGATGGATAGGAAATGGATGGGTGGATGGCTGGATAGTGGATGGATGGGTGGGTATGGATGGATGGATGATGGGTGGATGGATGGATGGGTGGATTGATGGATGGATGGATAGATGGATGGATGGATGGATGGG